AATAAATAAAATATTTAAAAATATTATATTAAATTTTAACAAATTTTCTATTTTGATGGTTTAGTCATTAATTATATTATTAAAATATTAAATATTTTTAATAATATCTTCAATAGGTTCTTTAAAATAGAGAAAATGAGACTTTTGTTCTCTATTTTGCTKTAACAGATTCTCTATATTTTRTTTAAAATAAATAAAATTTGATAAAATTCCAAGTTTAGAAAAAGGGAGACTAATGAGATTGAATCGTTATTATTTTATATAAAATTCTTTTTGAAAASTGTATTGAAATGATAAATTATCRAATATTTTAATAATACAATGAATGTTGAAATTTCTAAAAWGAAAAATATGTTGAAATTATATATAAATTTTTAGAGACTTTAACTTTTCTTTCTCTATTTCAGATAGATTATAGAAAATCTGTTGAAGATGCTCTATCATTCCAACAAAACTTCTATTTTCGAGCTTTCATATTGAGTATATAATTAAAATATTTAATATATTTATTGTTTAATATCCAACAAATTTACTATTTTGGAATCTTCAACATCAGTTATATTATTACAGTATTTAATATATATACAAAATTTTAATTAAATTTATATAGAAATGATAATACATTTAATTTTATTGGTGAAAATAATAAAAAACAAAATCTTTTTTTTTTCAATATTTAATTTTAACGAGTTATTTAAATTATTATCTCTCTCATACTTTCACTATTTCGGGAAAAAAAATATGTTGGAAAAAAAAGTAGCATATAAACCTTTTAAAATCGTCATTTTMTCCAAAATTGGAGTTTTTGTTGGAGATTATTTAATAATACAATTATAATTTAATTAGTTTAAAAAGTAACCATTATAAATTACTAAAATCATGTGCTTTTTTATGTAATTTACTACATAAAAATGTACTAATTTTATTTTATTTTTTTAAATTATATATTGATGATAATCGATACTCCAGATTTAATTTTTCTGATGTTGACGTCATTTTATTTAGGAAAATGTGAAATCAACAATGATAATCTTGTATGCGTGTCGGTTATATAATCGTAAAAAGTAGTATCGACGTATAAATGTTTTGTGAGTTCTCATCCAAACCCATATAAGAATACTAAAATGATACTTGCATCATGCAACGAGATACATCTTGTTTTAATGTTTTATTTTATTTATTTTTATCTTAGTCAATATTATAATACAGATTTATTTGGTTTTAAGAAAGTGATAAATTTTTTATTTTTGAATAAAATATAAATATGAATAAATCATAAAAAACTGGTTGATATTAGTACAGACTAACTATTTTTTTTTTTTTGTATATTTCCTTAATTCATTTTTTTATTTTTGGTTTAATGATATAATTTTTTATAAAGATAATAATTAAGTATTTTGTTAGAACTCAATAATCATTCTAATTATATTTAATATTTATTATATTTAAAATAAGATGTTTATTCTCTATTTGATTATGTCTATCTGCAGGTTAGTTACAAAAATTCGAACATGAAGCTTTAATAAGTGTATTTACGCATAATTTACTTGTAATCTTGAATTTTAAGTAATATGTATCAATAAATAATACTTATTACATAAAAATGATTTTTAAAAGGTTTTTTCAAATGCTTTATAATATAATATAAATTAAATATACAAAAGCATCTTAAATTAAATTAAGGAGAGGGATTACTAACATAATATTTATGTAATTTAATAATATTTATTTTTCACAAATTAAGAATATGGAGATTTTAGGGAACTTTTTTTCCAATAAATTTTTTAAAATATAAAAAGAATATAAAAAACTTCAATTTGAAGAATATTTTAAATTTAATGTTAGGAAAGAGAAACCTTTTTAATTGTTTAGAGTTAATTACAAATCTGGTCCCTGTGGTTTACATTAATTCACAAGTAAAGTCCCTAAAAATTTTATAGAATGTTCTTATAGTTTTTTTTTTTATAATGAATATGGTTCTCCCTCTACCAGATTCAGTCCTTCAAATTATTTTCATTTTATAACATATTTAATCCCTTAAATTAATGTACATTATTCTAACAAATTTGGTCCCTCAAACTATTTTTTATTGTTATAACAAATTTTGTCCCCTCCTCGACTTTCATTTTTAGGAATTGGTCCATCCATTTAATCAATAAAATTTGATGGGCACAAACATATATTTTCGAAACATGTAAGCATTAAGTAAATGTCATCGTCAAGAATATGCATGCAATTAAATCATATTGACATATCAAATATCGCGTATTATGTGGGTCAACATCGTAGGAAACATCATGATACATGTACTATCTCAAATTACTCGACTCGGTACAAAGGTACTTCACAACATATACCGATTGAAACATCGTCAATAAAATCGAATCTCCAAGTACAGAGGTATACCTCACGATACATATCCGGATAACATCTATCGACAAGGTACTGAGGTACTTCGCAATATTATCGGTTAAAACATCATTGCAGTTTCCCGCCATCTTTACTGACCCAATTATACAAAAAAAATCATGCTTTTCAAATACTTTATTCATGCTAGCACTTGCACAAAACATCGTAAATAAATAAATCATTCGTAAACCATCTTCTCATATAAACATATATTCGCAACTTTGAAAAAAGTAGTTTATAAATTAATCACGTTTGAGAAAACTTATCTAATAGACTACTTGACAAATGTAAAAAAGTACATATTATTTAGTTATTTAATTCCAACATTTTATAATAAAATTAAAACAAAATCATTAATAAATTTATATTGTCATATTAAAATCAATGTTATAATATTCAAAATTAAGAATCTATTGGAGTTAAATGTGTTTTGTTTTAGAGATCTTGAAATTTCATTTCCCATTTTGGAGAATTAGTTAAAGCATCTCCAATGCAAAGTTTTTATAAATAGATAGTGAAATGGCTAGTAGAAACTACCGTTATGAAGAATTCTTATAAAAAAAATCACCCTCTTGAGTTTTTTTGCAAGCACTTTGGTTCTTATCATGAACTTTGTTTGAAATGACAATTTCATACTTCTTTTATACATTTTACTGACTTTATAATTATTAATAGAAATAGTCATTTTTAAGGACCAAAACGAATCTCTTAGGGACCGTTTACCAAATGCTTACTTGGGTAAGCATTTACCAAATTATATTATCTTACCGAATGAATATGATAAKAACCAAAAATCTTACCCGGTAAGTAAAAGCAATGACTCTTACCATAGTTAGCTCTTACCGGGTAAATTGTTGCATAGAAAGTCGTTTTTGTTAAATAAAAAATCTTATCCAATAAGTAATAATAGTATTGAATTTTATGGATAAGTGYTTATCGCGCAAGTGTTTGGYAAACAACCCCTTAGTCATTCCTCCCCGTGAATTTCCAAAAAGTCACTACTATCTCTACAAGTGGCAACGCCTAAGCTTACGGTGGGTCAAAATATAAAAACCTAAAAAGAAGTTTTTGAACATACTCTACAAATACATGGACCAAACTTGTAAATTAGTCCAAGTACTTTTGCAAGAGAAGCAAGGCCCAAATACAGATTCAGAAATTGCATCCTTAACTCTTAAAACCCCCATGGAAGATTCTCTTAAATACATGCATGTATCAATGAAATATTTTAATTATATATATATATATATATATATCTCTCAAACTTATGTCAAATAAAAACTCAAATGTCATGTTGATTCGAGCAAAAATGTGCAAAAACTACAAATGCAATGTTTTTTTTTCACAATTATTGTAGAAAAAAACATTTTTAAAGAAAAAAGGTTRGTTTATAAGGAAAATTGAAACAGATTTGCATACCCTCAAGATATATAACCATCACAATAAGACCAAAATGGAGTTCAAAGATGAGACTACGAACAACATTCTCCTGATAGCACAAAAATTCGACACATACAATTTCATCTTAATTTCAAGAAATATATAAGGTTCAAAATTACCAAAAGGGCCTTCAAAATAACCACAACAAAATTCCTCAAGCTTCTCACTTCTTCTTCTTGGCAGCATCCCCAGCCTTTGTCTGCATACACGAATTCCAAACAATCACATAAAACGAAATCCAAGTTCACGGACAAAGTCATGTGAAATTACAAAAAGAGTCCCTGACGGTCCTTGTAATTTCCAAAAGGTAGAAACGTAAAACCAGAGTTTCCACAAGCGCCGGGGACGTTTTTGTAATTTATTCTACTTGCGTGAAATCCAAGCTCAGAAACAAGATCATGTGAATTTTTTTAAAGATGTTAATAGCAAAATATTTACCTTCTTTACTCCCCGGATCTTCTTTGATCTGTTCTTCCTTTCCTTCATCTGCTTCCTTGACTTCTCAATCTTGGTATCCAATCCATTCTGGAAAACACAAAATGAAAAATAAAAAAATCATTTTTTCTTTGATCTGGAGGAAGCTTTTCTGCATTTTTCTCATTTCAATCGAGAATTTAGTCATGTTCAGTATCTTCTACAAAGGCATTATTGTAAATCAATCCCTATATCCAATTGCAAACCCCGAGTTTAAAAGTTTAGATCTTGAATAAGATATTGTGCGTGTAAATGCAGAATGGAGTGATTCTTTGGTGCCCAAATTATAAAAAAACTCAACTCCATGTTAGAGAAATAATTGGGTGTCCGGGCCCAACTCAAAGTCAAACAGCTAGACAAACCTCTAGTGTCCCTCGAAAGGCTCAAACGGTTGACAACTAGCCAGCAAACCCAAATTTTAAACTACCACAAGGGTTCTGAATTATTTAGCATTAAAAGTAGAAACGATACAAATGAAGTTTGATTCTATATTAAGTAGCATTCTTCGTTGAATGCATCCACATAATAATGTCATCTAACGGATTTAGGTTAGAGATTTACCCTRACAAGTCTGTATTTTGGCTCATACTTCTTTGCATTCTCAACAGAATCATAGATCAAACCAAAACCAGTTGATTTCCCCCCACCAAAATGAGTCCTGAACTTGAATACGAAGATGGAATTTGGATCTTTCACGTCGTAGATCCTTCCTAATTTCTCTTTCAATTCAGCCTTCAACAAAAGTAAAAAAACAAAAAAGGATGCTTTTTTCAGTTATATAATCAGACATGGTATATCATATAAAACAGCTCAAATATTACAAGACAAACTCTGCTATTTTGATTCAGGTAGATGCAACACTAAAGAAAAGAATCAGTAACAAAGATGTTCCAACTRAAATAATGCAGAAATATACACGAAATGGAACTTTATGGTCCACAAGAACATAAAAGTTTCAATTGGAATGAAATGATTGGTTTATGTAACACTGAGTTTCTATGAAATTCTGAAGTTACCAGCAACGTAATCCACCTTATAGCATACTTCTACATTAAACTACAGACTTATATGGGTGATAAGTCCAGATAGAGTTGCATATTAATTAGCAAGTGTCAAACCTTGGAGACATTTGGCCTTCCAGGATGGAGCACATCAATTACCTGCATCAACAAACACAATGTGTGTGAAAAGAAGTTAAACTTCAAATAAACTATTAACATTACTACAGATTAAAAGTTGCAGTTGTGCAAAGAACTCACAAATTGCTTCCTGGAAAGAAGCCTATTTGTCATGAACTTCCTTGTACGGATAGTCACTGCYTTGGTGTCCGCCATTTTCACTGCTGAATACAAATTAATCCAATGAAAAGTGAAATCCTCAAAACTAGTCATCAATTTCATCAAATATAGAAAACATATCTAAATCAAATATTTAGCCTAATCAGAGTTTTAAACCCGAAAAAGGCCTTGAATCAGAAACGAAATGCAATGTTTCTCTTTCGTGTAGATAATACAGAACCGCAATTCATTGATAATAAATTCATAATGCCTAAATATACATGATTTTAACCTGTATAATTGAATCGATAGGTTACATATCAGAATGTACATTCCCCTATCTCCAAATAAAAGTTCAAATTTTACTCAAACAAAAAAACGAAAAACAAACGTCATACAAGTTGGTCATATAGTTGCAGGATTAGAACAGATGCGTTCAACAGATCATACCACCGTGAATCTTACTAATTTGTGTAAAACAAGTGTTTTTGGAGTGGAACGAAGCAAAGGTAGACAATTGATAGTCCTAGCTATGAAATTAGGGTTGAATATATAAAGAATCAGACCTGAGAATGTCAACTCCGATGACTGCGACGGCGGCTCTACCTCTTCCTTTTTGCTGAGTCGTCGGCTGGGGCAAAGAGGAAAACCCTACCGGCGGTTTATGAACGTATTAGTAGTAAGAGAACACATATGGGCTTGGGTTAACACATTCGAATTGGGCTTTTAACAGGGCCCATTATGTTTAAAATAATTTGAGTACACTATTTTAGTCCCTATGGATTGTAAAAATTATGACTTTTGTCCCTGTGATTTTGAAATTGTGTTTTTCGCCCCTAAATCTGACGATGTTATCAAACGACCGTTAAAACCATTCACATCCCCCTCACGTGAGGGGTATGTGTGTCCTTTTAGTTTTAACAAATTTCTTTACCGTATTGCTTTTTTCTAATTATTATTTTTTCTATTCTTAAATGTTCATCGTCTCTATCCACGTCTTCATCTTCTTCAAAGAAAAAACAAATCTAAATTCAAACCTAAATCAAGTAGAGAGGTACGCTGCTGGGATGTGGAGGAGTGTACGGATCTAGGCCAAACGTTCAAGGAGATAGAGGCATATGAGGCAAGGACTGATTTTGGCAAGTACCTCTCCATTCTCTGCTCTTTCTGAAAGCCACTCGTCAGAGTCGGTGACTGCATTTGCACCCCTTCCCTATAGCTTGTGAGTCTATGAATCCATCTACATATCTAAAGTGAACCTGGTTGACCTCATATTTGAAAAAACTAAAAGGTTATTCATYTTCATGATTGAAAATGAACCATAAAACAAATCAATACTCTTATTGATGTTGTTCATTGTTGATTTGGATTTGGCTCAGGGACAAACACATGATATTTTTTGCAAATGGTAACATTATTTTACTATAATAAACAAATAGGGGGATATTTTTTAAATGATGACACATTTGACTAAGAAAATGATACTAACAATATTATAACTTGGGTCTGGGATGGAAGAAAAATCTTGGAAACCAACTTTACCAAATAAAATTTGTTCTCATTGTAGTTTCAAAATATATACAGTGACACACAACAAYTAATACGGTGATCTTCTTCATGACTCTTTTTTTTACACTACAACGAATGAACAATGCGGTGGCATGGGTCACCATATGTCTAAATTGGGTCTACATGTGATTTAGATTTAATGTTTGTTGGAGTTAACTTTTGGTTTTATTTTTAAGAAATTATAGATGAATTGTTTCAAGCTAACAAAAACTTGAAAAGGACGCATTTATGGGGGGTTTAACGGTCCTTGACAACGTTGTCAGCTTAAGGGACGAAAAAGGTARTAAAATTAAAACCATAGGGACAAAAAATATAATTTAAAAATCACAGGGATGAAAGTAGGAATATTTGATAAACCGCAGGGACGTAAATAATAATATGTTTAGGGTGCGTTTGGTAGACAGACAAGACATGACGGGACATAACAGGACAGAACATGATAGAACAGGACAGAACATGATAGAACATGACAGGATAGTTGTTAAGCGTTTGGTAAGACATAATAGGACTGGACATGATTGGTTAAAATGACCAAATTACCCCCAATGAGATGTTTAGTGTTTTTTTCCCACTAAATAATCAATATAAATGTTAACAAATACAATGTGCAAAGTATAACTTACATCAAACCACTACTACTTTCAAAAAATACATGATTTCATAATCAACTAATGATATACGAGAAAGGTAAATATAATATAAGCATGAAGAATTCATTATCGAARCAAATCTATATGCATTCCATACTAAGAATAAAACATTACTAMCAACAAGCGTATAATCAATTAAAATGGATTAAATATCAAATAGTAAATAAAATTTAAGCATCAAGAAAACAATTTGGCTAGTGATCCTATATAGTATCATCACATTCACAAAACTTGGTTTTCAGAAAACAAAAGAATTCACCTATCACCTGTACAATCACTCATGTAAGATCAAAATCGAATATTTACTACCCTGATCAAGAGAAAACATACAAAACTCATAAAAAATAACAAATTGCAGGCGTGAACCTTACGCAATACGTTTGACGGTGATAAAATCAATAAAACAATTTATGTAATTTATTAAATTATAATAGAATAATTATTTTTTATAACAAAATATATCATTTGAAGTTTTCGTCAAAACAATTAAAATGACACAAAATAAAAAGTTTATATGGTTTTCTATTTTTATTTTTATCTTTTTCTACATTATTCTTTATTATTAATATATAATAAATTAATAAAAATATAGAAACCGTATAAAAATAATATTTTGAGAACAGTAAAATGAAAGTTTAAGAAACATAAAATATAATAGATAAATTTTAAAGGATGAATAAAATGTAAAAGAGAGATCTATTTGATGTTTTAGAAGAGAATTAAGTTTCATTTTGAGGTTATATTGGTAAAATATAAGTCTGTTCCACTTTATTCCACCCTGTTCCATGGGGTAGGGGTGGAACAAGCCTGTTTCACTTTGTTTCATTTTGTTTCTGTCTGTTCCACATAAAATTTCATGCCAAATATGGAACAGGGATCCCTGTCATGTTTTGTCTTGTCCCTGTCCAGTGTACCAAACGCACCCTTAATAATTAGAGTAGAAGCACTACAATTGATACTCAAAGAAACCTCAGGGGGTTTAATAGAATTTTAGCCGAACCGAAGCCGTAGGGTTCAATTGGAATCTCTTCAAAACGTTTCGCCATATTGCGTTTTCTTTCATCCACTGCTTTCTGATGGGTTACACAGCTTCCACCGTTGAAGTCCGCCAAGATCGGCATCGCAGCCACCGAGACAACCGCAGCTACCCACCGGAACCTGGTTCGCCAAGTGACCGTCGGAATCGCAGTTCCCGCCGTAGTCCTGACTATTCAAGGTACGATGACGATTCCAATCGATCGCGTAATCGTCGTTCCCCCAATTTTTCTAAATCGAGGAATCGTAATCGCAGTGCTAGCCGTAGTCGTAGTCGYAGTCCGGACTATAGTAGATACGATAATCCAAATGGCTATCGCCGTGATCATCGCTCCCCTGATTATTCTAGATCTAGAAGGAACCCTAGCCCTAGAGTCGAACCTATAAATTCGAATAGGAAATCGACCTATGGTGACCAAAACAGACAGTATCTTGACCGTGATTACAGGAACGGGAATGGGAACGGCAACGGACCGGAGTCTGATTCCGATGAAGAGCTAAAAGGTGCGAGTTATGAAGATTACCGGAGGCTAAAACGTCAAAAATTAAGGAAGATGCTGAAGAATTGTATATGGAATGTAACACCTAGTCCTCCAAGGGGTGATGGCGAACTCGACGAGCTTGAACTGGAGGAAATTGCAGAGAAGGATGTCGAAGAAGACAGAGAGAAGTACAAGGATACAAAGTTTGAATTGGATTCAAAGACGAAGGGGGGTTCGTCTGAATCTGAGTCTGACTCTGATTCAGAATCAGATAACTCGTTATCTGATTCAGATGATTCCAGATCTAGGAGGGGGAAGAAGAGTAAGAGTTCGAGTTCTAGGCGTAGGCGTAGAAACAGGAAATCTGTATCTGTGAGTGAGAGTGAATCAGACGATTCCACTGACAATTCTGAAGAGGAAGATCGGAGGAAAAAGAAAAAGATGAAGAGRAGATCCACCAAACGAAAGAGTAGCAGTAGCAGAAATTCTAAGAGGAAAAGAAGAAGCAAATCAAGAAAAAGTAAAGATAGWGATTCTGAAGGAAGCAGTGACAGCAATGAACGCGAGGAACCGTTGAAGCTCAAAAGGAGTCGTAGTTCTTCCTCACAACCCAAATCAAGCAAGAAAAGGAGTGAAAATGGCAGCCAGAATTCAGCATCAGATGAGAATTCAGATCCTGAAAATGATATAAACAAACCCAAGGTGGATGATGCAGAGAAGACAGAGGTAGACAGTGAGTTGCTTATGTTCAAAGAGATGATCGAGTCACGAAAGAAGCCTGCTTTGGATGATGAACCAGAGGTAGGGCCGATGCCATTGCCAAGAGCTGAAGGGCATATTAGCTATGGAGGTGCACTCAGGCCTGGTGAAGGTGATGCCATTGCGCAGTATGTTCAGCAAGGAAAGCGTATCCCTCGAAGAGGAGAAGTTGGTCTTTCGGCTGAGGAGATTAGCAAGTTTGAGGATCTTGGCTATGTTATGAGCGGTAGTAGGCATCAAAGGATGAATGCCATTCGTATCAGGAAAGAAAACCAAGTTTATAGTGCTGAGGATAAGCGGGCTCTAGCCATGTTTAACTATGAGGAAAAGGCAAAGCGAGAACAGAAAGTTATGGCTGATTTGCAACGATTAGTGCAACGTCACATTGGAGAAGAAACTGGCCCTTCTCATGATCCTTTTGGTGGAAGAGCAACAGAGGATCCCGATGCTTAATTACAGAGTATGATGTCTTCCCTCTTGGCTTATTTTGTTTGTTCTGCTGTTTTTTACGCCATAAGATGTTCTGAAGCATTTGCCTGAATTTGAATCTGGGAGTGTGCAATGCAATTTCACCATATCACTTGTTCTAAACGTTGGATCATGCAATTTTGTTCATCTTTTTGCTGTTTTCTTTATGCAATTATGTGGAACTGAATTGATGGAGCATTCTTTTCTGCATGTCTTTACTTGCCTGTGTCAATAACTTGTCTTTCTATWTGGAATTTGCAACCTTTGAGTTGTATAGCAATCATTACTTGATTCTCTGTTCTGGGTGGGCACTAGATGTAAACATATATATACACTACCATAGTACCATGTATGCATTAAGGGTTTGAAACAGAGGGAGCAAACTGTAATGTAAACCATTATGCATTGTGCCTACATCTGGCTCATGAAAAGTTTTTTACTTTGGCATTTTTTAAGTTTTTWGCACATCTATTTTATTTACCAAAATGTTTTTTTGAGCAAATGCATCAAACTGAAACAATTCTATTTGGTTTGACAAAGATTTTTT